TTATATATATATATATATATATATATATATATATAATAACTGGAGTGCTATACGGATCATCGGGTACAATTGTACAATAATTTACGGTCAATGGACATCGCAGTTCTGGTCCATAACCAAACAGTCTATGCCGATTCTCTCCTTTAATTCTTTCTAGTGCCAATGTTTAATACAAAGTAGCACCTCGTCACAGTGTAATCAATAACAGAACAGGTGAATCGCACAGTTACCAGTACCTGTCATTCAGTCAACGAAGTCGGTAACCTAAGCTATGAAATTTTGAATGGGGAACAAAATGAAACCGCAACAAGTAGACTATATCTTATTCATTCGGGCGATAAACAAGCTGCTTTGGCTTCCAACAAGGTTGGGCTGCAATGGAGAAATCCAAACTTCGTATTTATTCTTAGCTATTTACTAGCGTTTTATTCGCGATGCTAAAACTGCCACTGGTCGAAACCGCCCTTACGGTGGAATAGCGGTGGCCGACATCAACCTTGTCGTGTACGTGTCTGAACGCTATCGTTACACTTCGTTTTATTACTCAATCGGCCATACTCTACCTGAGTACTCATTACAAAATTGTTTAAACATTTTCCAACCTCAGCACTGCTTGTCCGGTGGTCCCACATAACTCGAGCAATACCGTGTAGTGTGGTGTTCGGACAGCGACAGTCTGCGCCGATCCTTCAACCACGACTGTCAAGTCGCCACATGAGGACTCAGACATGGATGCCAAGGTTGCCGAAGTACATCATCATCATCGTCATTCTGGAACTTCTCTCCTCTCACTTCCGTAATACAGGTTCACTTAGTCCACTTAACACATTCACACCTAGCACACAATGTGCGCTTGACAGCGACACCCGCTTCACTAGATCTCGTCGTGATGACAAGGTCCAGGAACTAGAAAATACGTCAGCCCTGTTGCATCCCTGGGTTCCATCAAGTACGCACCTTGTATCCTATTAGGAGAGTCGCAAAAGTGCCCCAGGAATATAAAGGGTTCTCACACAATCAGACTACGCACCTTAAGCGCTGCTCAATTCGAAGAACTTGTAGAGGCTTCCGACCCACAGCTTAACATACAGGAAGACAACCACCTCCACATGTCTTTGTCTTGTTACAGGCATTGGCTGATTCGGACGTTCGTTCGTGCATTCTACCAGGATGGTCAAAATCCTGATGGCGCTTCACTAGTTAGGTCTTCAATCTTCGTTGTCAATAACACCTCCAGCGAGGTACCACCACTTCGAACGGAGCGTGAGCTCAGTGATGCACCTCCGCCGTCAGATAATCTAGAGCGCATTCAGGCTAAACTTCTGGTGCTTTCACAGGAACAATATACTCTCCTTTGTTCTCACCTGCCGCGTCATAGAGAATAGCGGTCTATCGGAGACTGGATCTCTTCCATTTACAAGGAAGCATCCGCCCATAAAAATCATCTAGCAACACGCGTGAAGCAATGTGCAATATGACAATTCCGTGGTTCGCACCGCTGACATCTACAATTACATTGTGTATAATCCCGAAACCAAGAAACGCGGCACCCAACAGTCCTACAAGTGCAAAGGGTCAAACGAAAGGGACCGAACGCAAACCATCCTCCAGGCCACTCCAGCATGCTCCCTTTGGTGGGAGACCCAGAACGTACCCATCGCACAAAGCGAGATAAACAAGACCCCCCGATCATCGAAAACCAAAGCGGACGAGNCCTTACGCTCTAGGTTGTCACACTAGCTGTCGACTACTGTGGCGTCAAGCACCCCAGGAATCACCGGGGATGCAATCTACGCGAAACTATACCCAGCGAGTAACGACCGGCCTTACGGGCGACGGCTTTTAGTATCTACCATTTGCACCGGATAAACGCAAAAACAGTGAAATCGACAGCTAGTACCTCGCTCGTCGGTAATAATGTAGGCCCCCAAACAAGACGGCATAGGTGCCTCCGTTGACTTGAGTGAACCAAGTGAGCCAGACTGACTAAGAAAACGATGTAGTGTGGGAAAATGTATATTTAACAGATAAACCATGAACAAAGGCCAAGATCGTGGAGTGGCATATCGGTACTATGGGTTGTAGATCAAACACTAACGACGAGCGGTTTTAGGAGTGGTCCACATGGAACATATGAGTAATCAAATCAACCACGCGACAGCTGTATCCAAATTCGTTGTCGTACCTGAAATATCAGTGAGTGCCGTAACTAAAGACAACTTACCATGCAATGAGCTTCACGAAATTGTCGTTCAGGCTGATACCAGCTTGAGCATCGAAAGTGGAGGAGACATGGGAGCCGAGTAAATCAGTGCTCACAATGAGATCTTCAGTGTAATCCAAAACACCTTTCATTGGTCCATCAGCCGCTGCCTTCACAGCAGCCTTAATTTCGTCATACTTGGCAGCCTTAGCTAGGCGGCAAGTAAGATCAACAACGGAAACATCGGCGGTGGGAACGCGGAATGCCATGCCAGTAAGCTTGCCATTCAGCTCGGGGATAACCTTGCCAACAGCTTTCGCCGCACCAGTAGACGCAGGGATAATGTTCTGCGCAGCACCACGACCATCTCGCCATGCCTTATTGGAAGGACCATCCACGACCTTCTGGGTGGCAGTGTAGGAATGCACGGTGGTCATCAAGCCCTCGACAATGCCAAACTTATCGTTGATAACTTTGGCAAGAGGAGCAAGACAATTCGTCGTGCAGGACGCATTGGAGACCACCTGCATATCCTTGCTGTATTTCTCATGGTTTACCCCGAAAACGAACATGGGCGCATCGGCAGATGGGGCAGAGATGACCACTTTCTTAGCACCACCACTAATATGAGCCTGGAGAAGACGTTAAGTAGCGTAAACACACGTTACCTTTGCTTTATCGATGGTCGTGAACACACCGGTCGACTCTACGACGTATTCGGCTTGGCTTTCGCCCCATGGGATTTTTGTGGGGTCCCGTTCATTGTGAACGGCGATATGAGCACCCTTGACGGTTAACTTGCCACCGGCAATGCCGATTTCATGGGGGAAGCGGCCGTGAGTGGAATCATATTTCAGCATATAACGCATGTAATCAAGCTCGATGAAGGGATCATTGATAGCTACGACGTCAACTGTGCCCTTCTCGATGGCAGCGCGAAGAACCAAGCGGCCAATTCGGCCGAAACCATTGATACCAACACGCGGCTTGCCCATGATCGCGAATGATACGGAGACGTGACAACCGGGACGAATAAATGCTGAACCTGGGGAGCTAGGTAAATTGGTACAGTAAAACACATGTTGGCGAATGAAACAAATGCTACAAAAACAATTCTGGATTAAAATGCAATTTCAAAATATTCGAAACTAGTTACTATCACATTGATTGTTGTATTGCAAACGTTTAGCAATTTTTGAAAACGTACGCTACATTGAGGCATTGTGCAAAATTTTGCTAGTAACATTGTGAAAAAAGGCTTGAACTAGAATAAAACTTCGTTTGGGTTAGCATCTATCGGACCTGCGAAACATTCAGAATATTAGTCATTATTAAGTCGAAAGAATCATTCCTTGTTCATGTTTAATCGTTCCAGTTAGTAGTTCTCAAAATTTGGACGTAAAATGCAGTGACGTCGTTTATTAACTCTTTGAATAATCATTAATCTAACCTTTCAACCCTAAACTAAATATGTTAGTATATAACTTCTATATTTATATGTCATATGTAACATAATATTTTTTCATTCATTTTAAATCATAATGAGCGTGCACGGAAAGCACACCGTTATGACGGGCCAAAGTATATTATAAATTTTAAAAATGTTATCCGTGCTTTTTCAGGGAAATCCTTAAATTGGAATGTAACACATTACATTGGCAGGATAGTTTACAGGATTCTTGGTTCGAGCTAGCATGGTAGACCAGTTTCTTGCATCTACAGGACACGTATGGCCCTCTGGGCTTTGACAGCGTGTTTATCCGTCCTCGGTGATGTTAGGGTACTGTCGCGTAGCAGGGATGCCAATTGGGGTTGCGGTCGATGGGGGCATCACCAGCTGATCAGTTACTGGTTAAACCAGGAGGTCCGAGTACCTCCGCAGCAAATATCAGAGTACTCGCGGGCAGTCAAGGATAGGATGAGACAAGTAAGGTAGTCTAGGGATGAGGATGTAGGTATTTTAGAATAGGATAAATAAAGGTGAATGATATATGATTAGATGAGGATAAAATAGATAATGTTCCAGGAGATTAGGTGTTCGGGACCGGTTAGGGAGGATGAGATTGCAAGCTAGCACCAAGGACTGAGTACTTCATCCTCGCGCCACAGGGAAACCGTCGGACAACAAACGCCTGCACTTGCCGGCTTTTAGTGATAGGCCCAAGACCACAGAACAGTTATAGAGGGTGTCTAAGTCCTACTGTATTACATCCTCCGTTGGCCTACCTACAATTTAGGTATCATCAGGAAATAGGAGGCACGGAGACTGTAGCCTTTGAGCTAGATCGGTAATAAAGATTACGAACATCAAAAGCCCAAGAACCGATCCCTATGGTACCCCAAGGCAGGCCAAAGCGGAGGTAGATCTGGACTCTTCTACTTTCACATAGAAGTACTTGGGTATTCTCCTATCCAGTCTACCACGACGGGAGCAACTTGCAGGTTCCTTAACTTGATTAAAAGCAGCCGATGGTTGACCGAATCAAAAGCCTTCTGGAAATCTAGATAGCAGACTTCAACAGGGTCACCGCTGTCTAGTCTGACAGTTACTTCGTCAAAGAAGGACAGCAAGTTCGTCTATCTTTGACGAATCCGTGCTGCTGCGGTGCCACTAGTCGATGCTGGGTTAGGTGGCTAACTACGGCATTCCTCATACATTTCTCCATCACCTTCAGTAAGATGCACAGGAGACTTACCGGTCGGTATTTTCCGGATAACTCCCGTCGTCCGGGTTTAAATACTGGGATGACCTCGGCTGTTTTCCATTCGTTTGGGATAACGGCTGAATCTAGGCTGCGGTTAAAGAGTGCCACAAGTGGTGATGCCAGGATATCCGCCAAGGGTTTCTTGATGGCTGTGTAGCCCGTCGGGGCCAGCCGCCTTGTGCTTGTTTAGGTTTTGGAGCTCTACAACTACCTCAACACTGGTGATATATAGTTGAGGCATCTCCTGTACAAGGCGTGGAGTCAGGGTGTCCGGTTGGTGGCCGTCTTCTAAGCAAACGGATTTGAAATAGCTTAGTAGGCCTTCGGCATATTTTTAGCTGCCATTGTGCCTCGGGAGAGTTCAATACTACCTACTGACTCTCTTAGCTTGCCCTTAGACTACACGAAGTTGAACTAAGCTTTAGAGCATGCTTTGGCACGTCTTGCAAGCGCTAATTCATACCAAGCTCGGTACAGTTTTTGCAGTCTGGTGGCATCATCCCTGGCTTTC